TTTTTATGACTAAATACTACTCTATTGTATGGATATACCACATTTTGTTTATTTATCCATCTGTTGATGAACATTTGGGTAGTTCCCACTTTTTGGCTATTGTGAACAAGTGTTATGTTTTTTTAAGTGGACATCATAAAACATGCATCAGGTTGAGTAGGGAAAACAGACACTAAATAGTTACAAAAATCAGTGCATCACTTTGGAAAATAGTATGGCAGTCCTCAAAAAGTTAAACATTACCATGTGATCTGGCAATTCTACTTCTAGGTATATAACCAAAAGAATTGAAAACGTATGTTTACACAAAAACTGTACATGGACGTTCACAGCAGCATCATTCAACAACAGCCAAAAGGAAAACAACTTTAATGTCTATAAACCAAAAGTGGTACATCCATACAATGGAATATTATGCAGCCATACAAAGGAAAGAAGGCTGATTCAAGCTGCACCATGAATGAAGCTTGAAAACATTATGTACACTCCATGAAGGCAGGGATGACGTCGGTCAGCTCATCTGTTACCACTGTGCAGGCTTTCACTAGGTGATCAAGAACTGCCTGTGGGATGAATGAAAGGCCAGGTCAGCAGTCCCAGCATCTCACCCCTGTGATATGTGGACTGAATCCCAGGGCAGTGAGGGGGACCTGCCAGCAACTCTGAATCACACCACCTCTGGCCCTCAGCAATACATGCCTCCTGCCTGCATTTCCATCTTCACAACGTGTTGCATCCAGTAGGTGCTCAATAAAATCCTGGCACAATGGCCCGACTGGACCTGAATCTTCAACAATAGCCAGGGAGTAGGGAAAGAAACAGCAGGTTAGCAAGTGGGGCAGGGCTCAGAGACTGCCCTGCAAGCAGCCACTCACCCGTCACCACAGGAGGGGTGGGGTTTGGTAAGACAAGGCCTTGGGCATGCATTTCAAAGGCTTCGCTCCTCCCAATAAAACCAGCACCGGCCCAGTGGAGGGGTCACAGCCAGCCCAGCCTCCTGCAGAGGGGGTCACTGGGAATTCTGTGTTTCATCAAATATTGCTCGGCCAGGGAGTTTTATTTGAAAATCATTTTAATTAGCCGGAAACTAGGAGTTTAATAAATGAAAAACAGAGAACTTTCCAAGGCCACAGCTGGGAAACACTTGCTTTTTAAAAAATTCCGCCTGGCTTCCCAGGCCAGCTAAGCACCCTGACACAAGGGCCCAAGTGCCAGAGGAATCCACAAGGAAAACAAAGCTTATTTTTAGAGAAATATTTTAAACCCGGTTTCAGCGAGTTTAGGAGTTTTCTTGTCTGCCTGAGTGAATATCTTCCCTTCTATTTCAGAGCTGCTCTCACCCCAGGGCACCAGCACGCCTATCTGACAGCTATTTCTGCACAGATGAAAATAATCAGGCTCCTTCCTCCTCCAACCAGAGAACTGTTTCTAAATATGTCCCTCTAGTCAGGCCCAGGAGGCCTGTCCCTGGCAGGTGTGCCCCGCAATAGGGTGGGTCGGGGGGGTCCCTGCAGGCCTGGAGGCCTGTCTGCCACCCTCCCATCAGCCCTGTTCTGCCCACCGCCCTGCAGGAAGCGGATGACAGCCTGACCATCATTTCCGGGTTTTGAAAGCAGTTTGTAGCTTGAAAGGGGCCAGCTAAAAGGGGTTGCTTTTCCTCTGTAGGTGTTAACACCCTGACCCCCACATGGACACACTCCCATACACACAGACACCTCCAGACCCAAACATAGAGCAACTATGACAGGTTCTCCCTCACACCCCACAGACCCACACACCTACCCACACAGCATTAGCTACACAGACACAGCCACAGCTTCAGGCACACCCAAACCCACACCCACACCCACACACAGATCCACACATACACCTACACACAGTCAGAGCAACAGACACACCCAAGCTCACACCCATACTCACACACTCACACACACAGATTTCCACACCCACCCAGACTCACACACCCTATAGACATACATACTCCACACAGATCCACACACCCACAGACAGCCCCATACTACAGTACGCCCCCACGGAAACATCACACACACAGGCCCCTGAGCACCTGCACAGGGTAATACTTACGAACATGTGCACACCCACCTTGACAGACAGGGACCCATACACACACACACACACACACACACACACACACACACACGTCGCCCTCCATGTGGACACATCCCCACAGGCCTCCTTCCAGGCATGCAGACACCCTTAGACACATACACACTCTCCATGTGGACACACCCCCACAGGCCTCCCTCCAGGCATGCAGACACCCTTAGACACATACACACTCATAGCTTTCCAGGTCCAGCACAATCTATCGGGAGAGGCTGGAAGAACACACCTAGGCCAGGGGTGGGACCCGGAGGTGCTGTGGCTTCCTGCAGCCCAGACCCCCACCCGCCTCCTTCCCGCAGGGCTCCTCCTGGGCAGGCCTGTCCAGCTGCCAGGCCTCGCTCCTCCCTGGCCCTCCCTCTGTTGCTCCCTCCCTCCTTTGCCTTGCCGGCAGCATGGAACTGGACCTGCCCTGGATTGCCACAGGGCTGCACATCTCCTGGAGTGCGAACAAGAAAAAACAAACCCAATTAAATAAGGTAGTAACAACGGAAAGTGGCTACAGGCCCCTGATGGAAGGTAAGCCTGGCCTGGGCTTACCCTCTAGGGGCCGAGTCAGCTCCCACTAACTCGCAAGGCCAAGGAAGGGAGAGGGACCCAACTTCCACTTTCAAGGCAGAGTCACATCTGTCCCCACTCTTGTCACCACAAGCAAAACTGAAGAGGGAGCGCCTGGGGACAGTTCCCTTCCAGGTTCAAATGCACTCTAGCGGGCTTCCTCCCTGCACACACCCAGCTTGGGGATCTTAGGACTGAGCACTCTGGTGCAGGGCCAGACTTGCAGCCAAGAGCTATGCCTGTTAGTCCTGACTGCTTTGGGCCCTCCCAGGCCTGGCCCTTTCATCCGGGTTCCTGTGCTGCTGCAGAGCTCATAATCCGCCATCTATCCCCATGGGTGGGTGCAGAGCTTTGGCCTTCTCAACAGTTATTTTGTGTCTCTCCCCCCCCCCCCCCCCCCCCTTTTATGCTCTCAGCAGTAGATTCAGACAGAGCGAGTGGCAGAAAATATGTCCACGCATGCATCCCTTCTCTGAAATCATTTAGAAGGTGGTACACACTAATTGGGTTGTTTAAAAAACACCTTCGTTTTCAAACAGCTGGTGGAAATGCCACCCTATTAGGGCATTCTAAACACACATTACGGGCTCGTTTTCACAATTAACTACAAAAGAATTTTATCTTGAGTTAACACAGTTTTTGAGCCAGTCAGTTTTAGTTCCGCTCCCCAGCCTGTGATAGAAATCCTGGCTTGTCTTTACTTGCAATTTGTTATTTCTTGTTCCTTTAGTTTACACGAAAACTTTCCTAAGGGTGATCAAGCAATAGTAGAGAGTTTTGTTTGCTGTGAATTCCAGCCGCTGCAGAGACAATGACCTACATACCCTCCATTGATCTGTGGCAAGAGGAAATTTCTGAATGATCCCCCCTCTCCCCCTCAAAGCTTTCCACACTCCACTGGGTCTAAAATACAAAACATCAGATCTTAGCAGTTGGGCTTGCAAACAAACCAATTTTGAAAAATAAATGTGGCTTACCCCCAAAAGAAGTCGAACATTCCAGTTGCTCAAAAGTACTTGTTTAAGGAAAGTAAGTTTTGGAATGAAGTGGAAGCAAGGCCTTGGACACGCAGCCTGGCCTAAACAGCACCACATTTTAGACTTTTCCTCCCCATTGCACATTCTTTATGGTGAAGAGGCCAGCGAGCCTGCAGGGTCCTTGCTGGAGAGCCCTCCAGGGCCTCGGGCTTCCCCTCCCCCACTGCTGAGGCCCTCAGCCAAGGGCCGGGCATCTGGGAGAACTTTGAAACTGTTCCTCATCCCCTTTGGCAGCGTGCGCCAAGCACCAAAACGCTCCAGCTAACACCAGTGCAATCATCGTTAACGTGAAACAGCTGCCTGAAGCCCGGTGGGGCCGGCATACTGCCCTCCAAGCTGTGAGACACAGGAGATCGGGCTGGCTATGCAGGGAGTGAGGGGATGCGGCTGGCTATGCAGGGAGAGAGTGTATTGGTTGATAGAGCCCAGCTGTTGTAGATAAGAAAACTGACTTGCTAAATCTCTTACCTACTTTGGAAAAAGTGTCTGAACTGTGTGGGGGTGGAAAGATGAAGAAAAAACATGATTTATGAACCCGTTTTTTAAGTGATTGTAGGAAAAAAAAAACACCCCCCAAAAACCTAAGGTTTTGTTAAACTATGTTGAGAATCAGCAAACTGGTAGGTTTTTTCCTTCCTTTTACCAGACACCTGGGTTGAATTTGCTTTCTGGCCACTGGGTCATCTCAGACACTAACCATTTGCATAAGGAACACGTGTGCTCTCACTCCCAGAGGAAGCTGTCCGCATAAACAAACATTACCCAGATATAAGTTTAACCTCTTTAATCTTCCCTCCTCTCTGGACAAGGACACAACCAGGCTTTCCAAAGTCCAGGAAAATCCCCGACCTAACCCCCCACACCTCCAGTTTAGCACAGCCTGGCAAGACTGCCCTTCTTTCCCCACGCAAGCAGTTTAGTTCCCCGGGCGTCCCAGAAAAAAAAAAAAATCTTCAGCTGCCACTGCAGACACGTGACCCACTTGATGACTCACAGGCAGGCCACGCCCCTTCAGGCCTCCCAGCCTGGCCTTGCCACCAGCCAACACTGGGATGCATCTTATTACCAAGAGAAACAGCTAACTAATGCCCTTGACAGTCCAAATAATTACTTTTTCAGCTGAAGAATTTACTATATAAAATATGGAGGGGCAGACTCTGCTAGCTCTCTAAATCCTAGCCCCCAACCCCTCTAAGACCTGGGCCAGGCCTGACAAAATGATGGGAAGCTAGATATTCCCATTAAAAAAAAAAAAAAAAAGCTACCTTACACATGAATACCTTTTTTTTCCCAAAACTTTTATTGGGGTAAAACTACAAAACATTTACAGTACAATGTTTACAGTCACAATCTGTAGTGAACTGATTCCCCAAAATATATTACAACTCAAGTTGACTTGTCTTGTTACATTCAAATACCTACTTCTGTCCAAGTAGTCCAGAGTACATACATACATAGTGCTCCACAACTGTACCTACGTACATACAAACTAAAGCTACTGCTCATTCACCTGCTGTCAGGAAAGCATTCCTGCCTTTCTACATGGGAAGAAAAATAGTACAAGTTTTGGAATTTTCTGTAATCAAACAAGGCATATTCATGTAATAACATACTATTACTTTAGCACTAAGAGGTGGCCTCTTCACTTTATCTATATAAAAAAAAGTGGTAAAAATCTTTTCCTTTTGTGCAGTTGAACCCATCCTACATTCAAATTCTCTCAAGCACTAATAGACAAAATACTTATTTGGTTGAGGAAGATTTAAGGCTAGTTCTGGCCCTTCCAAAGGCACTGTGAGACTACCCCCCATTATTGCTACATGTCTGTATACGCAGAATATGTCACAGTAGAGCTGGTGGAATAAGCAAACAAAAACATCTTTTGCTGGTTTATAAAGATGGAATGAGAAAAGCATGCCACATTTAAACCTGTCTGCAAAGTATGTGGTCACTTTTTCTTTATAGCTGGATGGGCTACAACCATTATACATTCTAAGAAAACTCTTAAACTACTTCCACAGCATGTAGATTTCTGTAAGGAAATCATTCAATCTTTCAAAATTTACGTAAACAAGTAAAGAAATTAATGAAATAAATATTACATACAATCTCTTAAATTAAGATTTTTTTTACTCATTTACAATAAAATAACCATGTGAAGTTACAAAAGTCATATATTACTGTGAAAAGAACATACACTCCACATTTTGCCGATTAATAATGGCAATCATAATTTAACATAATAAAAGAATATATATCTATTGCTTTCCATCATACCTGATAAATACAGTATGAACAAAATTTTCAATGTATACTTTTCACAAGATAATAAATAAGTTAAATAGTTTTTTCATATTGAGTTGTGGTGCAGTGGTGCGAATCAACTCAAAACAGCTAAAAATTCAGCAGTTATTCCCCAACAACTACAAACTAAGCTCTGCCCAGGGCTTCCAGAGGGAGCAGACAAAATGGTTCTAAATTAAACATCCACTAAGTAAGTGGTGGCAATGTAACCAGTAACCCAGTATGAAACTTTGGAATGCAAAGGTCTTTTTTCCAGGCACACATCACTTGGTTAAAATACAAACAAACAAATGAACCTACGAAGCCTACTATATCAAGGCATGTTCTTGGCAAAAATATTAAATTTTAAAAGCTTACAGGTTTAACAAGGTGGTGGCTTGGCTGGTTTGTTTACACTGGTCTGAGACAAACACAATAAGGAACTTCTTTCAAGAGTTCCCACATCTGGACTGTAACTAATGCTTTTCAAGTGAGGATATGGAATGGTGGTTGGTAGCTGCTGGTGCTGGGTTGATTTTTTCCCTAAAGTCCCAAACTCCTCTGAGACCTAAAAAAAAAAAAAGTTTAAGTGTTTGGTTTTTTTGTTCAATTCGCATCACAACTGCCCAAGTTGTGAATATTTTGTTCATCAATACAAAAAGTTCGTTGTTTTTTTTCTCAACAAGAATGAAACTTCGTAATAAAAATAATAATAGAAAACAAAACAAGAGGAAACCGAAAGGGGAGGGGTGGGGGCCCCTCCTGGCACACAAGTTCGAGTCCAAGTGCTCGGTCCAGCCTGCAGTCTGCATGTGGCCTTTGCCACCCCCCCCTCTTGTGTCCCCCTGCCCCTAGCTGGGGTGAGATGGCAGGGGGGGGCACCCTCCTACAACCCCAGAACCGGCCATCCCTTCCTCCTCACTGGCGCCCTCTTGCCTCAGTCGTCGGAGATGGAGAGGCGGCTGAAGATGGGCAGGCGGCGGCCGGGGTCCAGGCTGGGGGACTCGGAGCCACTGAGGCTGCCGGAGCTCAGGGAGCCGCTCAAGTAGCTGTCGCGGTCCGACAGCGAGTCAGGGGGGCTGGGGGGCGAGTCGAACACGGGCGA